CTCTCTCTCTCTCTCTCTCTCTCTCTCTCTCTCTCTCTCTCTCTCTCCTTCTTTCCCTCCCTCCCTGAAATCAGGAAGACCTGAATTCAAATCTAGCCTTGTGACCTTGGGCAAGTCACTTAACCCTGTTTGCCTCACTTTCCTCAACTGCAGAATGAGCTGGAGAAGGAAATGGCAAACCACTCCAGTATCTTTGCCAAGAAAACTCCAAATGGAGTTACAAAGAATTAGATACAACTGAAATGACTAAACAGTAACAATTACTTCTTAATATATAACTTCTCCCTGGCCAATGACATAACAAAGAATTAGAAAAAAAAAATGTTTAACCAACCTAACCAACACATTGTCGGATAATATGTACAATGTTCCATGCCCATTGCCCCCTATCTCTGCAAAGAAAAAATGTATTTTCTCATCTCTTTCCTGGGGCCAAGTTTAGTCCTTATAATAATACAATGTTCAGCTTCTTTCTTTTTTCTTTCTTTCTTTTCCTTCCTTCCTTGCTTCTTTCCTTCCTTCCATCCTTCCTTCCTTTCTTCCTTCCTTCCTTCCATTTATATATTTTCAGTGTTGTACATTGCTTTTCTGGTTCTACTTACTTCACTTACTTCAGGTCATATAAGTCTTTCCGTGCTTCTTTGATGCTTCTCTTAGAATAGAATTTGTCAGTTGGAAATCTTTGCTTGGCTTTGCTTCATGAAGTCTGGCAGGAGCATTCCTGAAGGCAGCATACAAGAAGCTTTCTTGGCCTTTTTCAATCCTAACTTTCTGCTATTTGAAAGCTGACACCTGGCCTGGGCATTCTAAGCAGCACATCATTTGGCTAGGACCTTATGACTGGCAGGTGTGCTACAGGCTTTGCCATTCCAGGTGCCCAAGTAACCCTTATGCTAAGTTCAACTTTTGCAGATGTTTTCAAGTTGCCTGAAACATCTCCAATACCCCAGCCAGGAACAGCCAATTGAAGACAAAGTCAATACACACCCCTCCCCTTTACTCACCAGTGGCATCCCCTCTGCCAGCCTCCTTCCCCCTTCCTCCCTTCCTCCCAGTCTGCCTGACATAGGAAGAACTTGAATCTGAATCTCCAAAACTTGCTTCTTCTTTTGTATTATTCCAAGGAATAATCCTTAAGCTCAGCAAAGATGATTTGGAAGCAAATCTTTTTCCTCTCCTGCCTCACTGCATTTGTGCTTTTAGCTAGTAAGTATGAGCAACAGAGAAACCCCAGATCTTTTAAAAGCAAAGACAGACTAGATATCTACACTTTTTGCCCTGATGCCATAGGAGGAGAAACTGTATTTTCTAGACTGCTGCAGAAAGGGTTTGTGTGTGTGTGTGTGTGTGTGTGTGTGTGTGTGTGTGTGTGTGCTAAAGAAAATTACACAGAGGAGTCAGCTTTGTGGTTCCCTAGGAGGGGGTATGTCCTGTCACTTGGATGTGAGAGAATAAATTCCTTAAATTAGTGATTAGGAAACCAGAGTTTAAGGATATGACCTTGTGCTTGGCTGTGGGTTAAGGGTTTCACTTATAGGATGCTGGGCTGCTTCATTGCACTCAATTTTATCTCTGTGTTATTTTCACCTAGTTCTTGAGACTGGGGAAGGTGCAGCTGTGGGCTCTAAGCAAGCAGCTGGAGAAGAGGACAAAGAAAGTAAGTAGAGCTGCTAGTTCAGCAAAGTCACCATGTCCTGCTAGTCGTCCCTAGAGCATACCAGTGACCTTGTGCCTTTTGTGATTAGTCAGTGTTTCTGCTTCCAGATTTGAAAAAGAAGATCTTCCTCCAGGAATCAGATGCTTCTAATTTCTTCAAGAAGCGGGGCAAGAGATCCACCAAGTCCCTGGATGAGCTGAACGGTGGGTGAGGAGCCTGATCAGTGTTTGTACCAAGTTACTTTTATTCTCTGTCTCTTTCTCCTGAGCTGTCTCCTAGAAGCCAGAAGGAGTAATTGTCAGACTGAAGATAAAGATAAGAAAGGGGATTTTCATTCATTTGAAATTAGAGAAAATGTGTTTTTCTTATGGTTCTCTTCATTTACCATACTACCCAGCAATATTTATTTGTATATCCTCATATACAGTGGTGTGAAATTGTATGTATTTTATGTTTGCATTTCATATCTATAGATGGCATTTTATGATGGAAGAGGCAGTGACACAGAGTAGAGAACATGCTAGATTTGGCATCAGGAAGACCTCTGACATTTACTAGCTGGGCAACCATGAGCAAGTTTCCTAACCTCTTTAAGCTTCACACAATTTTCTAAGACTTATTTACTGTTATCTGAATTGGTGGAAGATATTCCTCATCTGAGAAAATCACAGAGCATTGATGTATTGATGCATCTCTCTCTCCCTCCCTCTCTCTCTCTCTCTCTCTCTCTCTGTATTTGTCCATCTCTCTGTCTCTGTTTTTCTCTCTCTTTCTCTCTCTTTCTGTGTCTCAGTCTCTCTCTTTCTCTCTGCCTGTGTGTGTGTGTGTGTGTGTGTGTGTGTGTGTGTGTGTTTGTATCGGTCCATCTCTCTGTCTCTGTTTTTCTCTCTCTTTCTCTGGCTCTCTCTCTCTCTGTCTCAGTCTGTCTGTCTGTCTGTCTGTCTATCTGTCTGTCTGTCTCTCTCTCTGTGTCTGTCTGTCTTTCTCTCCATGTCTTTTGGTCTGAACCTGTAATTTTATCAGTGTGGGGAGCTCAGTGTGGAAACTTCCTTCACAGAAGCAGAAATGCCAAATTGTCTATACATTATAGTTTTAGACAAACACCTTTGAAAGACTTGAGAACTCTGATCAAAACAATGACCAACCCTGATTCTGGAGGATTGATGATGAAGCTTGCTGTCCATCTCCTGTCAGAGAGGTGATAGACTCAGGCTATAAAATGAGGCATACTTTTTTTGGACATGCCAATGTGAGGATTTGTTTAGCTTGACTTTACATATTTGTTATGAGGATTTAGATTTTTGTTAACTGAAAAACATTTTAATTTATTTTTGAAAACATAGTTTTTGGTGAGTTGTCTGGAGCACTGAGAGGTTCAGTGACTTGCCCTGGGTCACACAGCCAGTAGGTAACAGAGGTGAGGTTGGAACCCAGGTCTTCTTTACTCCAAACATGGCCCACTGTCCATTATGTCAAGATGGCTCATTTATATGTATAATTTGTTTCCCTTTTGGCACATAGCATAGTGTCTTGTACATAGTAAACCTTCAATATATAGTTATTTGATTACTAACTGGCTGGTAGAAATACAATAGAATTTTTTCATGTGATGGGGGTGAAAGGGTTAAATCTGTCTTTTTTGAGTTAGATAAAGAATGCTGCCATAAGAAGGTAAACAAGTGGCCCTCACATAATTTTGGGTTCAGAATTTTTATTTAATGAACATAACTGAACTTCAATCAAACCTTATTTTTTCCAACTGATGAAAATTCACCTCATCTCCTTAGCTTCCCACTCCATTGAAAAAGAAAGAAAAAAGAATCTTTGTGACAAATATGTATGGTAAAGCAAAACAAGCTCCAACATTTTTTAAAAATTAATTTTTTTTCAATTAATCAAGTAGTTTTCAAAAGAAGGGCTCCAGGAAAGCAATCTCCTAGAGATGTTTCTACTTGAAAAACAGGCATTTCTTTAGGAGATGGCAATGTTTGCCGTTGTTTTAAGTTGTCCCCAGCTAGGGAGGTGTGGGTTGAAGCTTTCAGGCGTTCAATATAGACAATGCACATAGTATGTGGAATGAGCTCCCCTATACACTGCAGGAGGCACAGGATAACCTGGTGCACACCCAGGGCTCTACAGCAACTTCTCCATTCAGTCTCATTGCACAACTTACACCCAGGGAACTTCTGCTAATGGGGCTGAATGATGGGCTCCTTGGCTACATCTCAGGCTATGTGGGACACAGCACAAGCAGCATTTCATAGTTGTAGCCAACACATTGCATTAGTGTGTGTGCCTGGGGAGCTTTACTTTTATTTTTTTAAATTAAAGACAGGTATTTATTGAGTACTCGATCATAAAGGACATTATTTTTATTTGACAAATTTAAAAACTCAAACATTTTAAATTAATAATTAAACTTTTAAAAATGAAATATAAAATATCGCTTTCTGGAGACATAAAGATGTGTAAAGAAAACTCTAGGTTTTCCTATGAAACGTGTTATAATTAACTTAAGCACAGGTAAGTGCTTAATAAGTACATCTATCTATCTATCTATTCATCCATCCATCCATCCATCTATCTAATCTGTCTGTCTACCTACCTATCTATCCATCTAAGCAGTTTGGATCAAATAACAATAATATATGTTAAATACTTTGTAAGCTTTAAGCACTTTGTATATGTCAGTTATCATTAATATTGTATTATTTTGTCCAAGTCACTACAAGGTAAAGCTAGGCAGGAGTTCATCTGAAAAAGATCTAAAGTCTCAGTTCTCAATCTGAGTTACAGCTCAGCGTGGCGGCTGAAACTGCTAAGGAGATTGGAGGTTGTATCAAGACAAAGCATCTCACCTAGGATTTCTAGGCAGGTGATAGTCCTGCTACAGTGAAACACTGAAACCCCCAGTGAACAATAACTATGTATCTGGCATGGAGCTGTTTCTTTACACTTCTCGCTATTAGAATGTATTAGAATGCTCTTGGGGGCAGCGAATGTTTTTGTCTTTGTTTCCTCAGCAATTAGTCCACAGAGTAAGCACTTAAATCCTTGTTGATTGAGTGACTGATTGAAATAATTTTCAAGCCTTACCAATAGCCCACACATGCTGTGTCCCTCTCTGTTTCCAAGCTACGTCTCAGATTACTTCTCTTTAATTTCAACAAACAATTTAGGTCCTTCGGAGACTGAATGGCATAGTGGAAATGACATTGGATTTGAAGGCAAGGCTAGACTTAGTTAACCCTGTGCCAAGCCACTTAATTATCCTTACTACACAAATCCAGACCAAAAAAAAAATGTTGTAAGGATAATTATTTATCAAAAATTACTTTTATCAAAAGAAATCCTTTTTTCTTTTTATGACTAGTCTTTCTTGTACCTACAGTAAAAACCATGGGATTTAAAGATAAAAGGGACCTTGGAGATAATTCAATAAAAAACTCTCATTTTATTTTATTTTATTAATTTATTTTTAGTTTTCAACAATCACTTCCATAAGCTTTTGAGTTTTAAGTTTTTCTCCCCCTCCCTCCCTACTTCTCTCCCCAGATGGCATGCAATCTGATATAGGCTCTACGTATACATTCCTATTAAACATATTTTCGAATTAATCGTGTTGTAAGGAAGAATTAGAACCAATAGGAGGAACCACAAGAAAAAGGAAACAAAGCAAAACAGAAGAAAAAGAAGCAAATAGTATGCTTCGATTTGCATTCAAACTCCATAGTTCTTTCCCTGGATGTGAATAACATTTTCCATCATGAGACTTTTGGAGATGTCTTAGATCTTTGCATTGCTGAGAAAGCTGTCTATCAAAGTTAGTCATCGTAAAACTCTCATTTTATAGGTGAGGAAACTGAGCCCCAGAGACATTAAGCAACTTGGCCAAGGTCACATAGTGTTCACTGGAGGTTTCAACTCTTCACTATAACGCACATTGATTTGAATGATCACAAAGCAGTTCATTCTCTGTACTAGGGGGAGTAGAATTTCTGCCATTGAAAATATGTTTGTGTAGGAAAGTAATCTTAATTTTAAAAATATCCCTCATTGAGAGCATGGTACTCCCCAAATCTTGCAGCTCTATTCCTGGCTTAGGTCCACTCATTAGGGAAATAATTTACTTCCTGCTGGATTTCCCAGGGTGTCTATGACAGATTTGAAGGTTAGCTGTGGCCCCTCCCCTTTGCTCTCCTTCATGCTAGTCTATATCTGCCTTTCCCCAGAGAAAGATACTATGAGAAGCAATCATTGGGCTTAATGATTGGGTTTTCCTAAGAAGTCAGGCATTTCCTTTCTCCTTGTAAACTCTGTAAATTCTCTTCCACAGCGGAAAATAGGCAACAGCTTCGAGCAGATGAGCATCGGAGGGAGTATTACGAGGAACAAAGGAATGAGTTTGAGAACTTTGTGGAGGAGCAGAATGATGGTAAGGATCTTCCGTGTGTAAGTGTGTGTGTGTGTGTGTGTGTGTGTGTGTAGTCGAAATCACATTATTTCCTGCCCTTTCCTTCCCCACCTCTTCCTTAGCATTTTATACTGGTAAAAATCTGATTTAAATTAATGCCAAAGGCTAACTTCAAGAAGGAAAATAGGGATATGCCACCAAATGGCAACATATAAAAAACTTCTAACAAAGCTGCCCTACCCCAGATCTATTAAGGTCCAGAGGTCTTTTTGCCTAGGAATCTTTGACATTGGTAACTGCTAGAGTACTCAATGGGTTGAATTCCATTAAATATATGCAATTTTTGCTTAAGAGTTGTTTAATGGAGACTATCATGCATGTGGTCTATTAGAAATTTCTAGCTCAGAACAGACAAAGACATTAAAAAATGCCTATCTAATGAAATTAAAATTCTAATAATATCACAAAAATATATGGCATGTAATGATTTTTGAAAGGAGGATGGTAATGGATCCTTCTCCTGAGACCAATTGGGCATATCTGGACACTATGCCACTTATGTTTTCCAACTCCTGGTGGAGAGATTAAGAGGGAAAGAGAGAAAAAAGGCCTTTGGTTGGTCTTCTGCTCTTTGGAAAAATAACTTTTTAACTACTGCCACTCATAGAAAGAACCATAATGTTTTTGATTGTTCTTCCGAAGAGAGGCAGAATGGAGAGGTTCTCCTGCCCTACCACAAGGTCAAAAGAATGACCAATATCTTAAAGCTCTATTTGCTTCTATCTCATCTTTTGTATTCTAAGCTCTGCCAGATCCAAAAGTGAGAAGAGGTGTCTCTGACCTTTTTCAAGGATGAAGTCAGTTTTGAAACAAAGGGATTCTGCCTATTTATTTCAGTCAACTCAGTCCTATCAACATGACTCATAGGGGACCACAGTTTTAACTCAAGAGGGTCTTGGCCTATTCACAAATAGAAAGCCACTGCCTTAATCTGGTTAACCTTAAATACTGGGGAACCAATGTTTCCTTAAGGGAAAGAGAAGGGAACAAGCATTTATTAAGCACCTAATATGGACCAAGCACTGTGCTAAGTGGCTATTTTTTTGTAAATAGTATTTATTTTTTCCAATTATATGTAAATATAATTTTCAACATTCATTTTTTTATAAGATTTTGAGTTCAAATTTTTTCTTCCTCCTTCCCTCCCAAACCCCTCTCCCCAAGATGGCAAGCAATCTGATATAGGTTATACATTTCAATCATGTAAATGTAGTTGTATTATGAAAGAAGAAACAGAAGAAAAGGGAAAAGCCTCCAAAAAACTCCCAAACAAAAATAAATGCAAATAGTATGCTTCAATCTGCATCCAGACTCCATAGTACTTTCTCTGGATGTGAATAGCATTTTCCATCATGAGTCTTTTGGAATTGTCTTGAATCATTGTATTGCTGAGAAGTGCTAAGTCAATCATAGTTGATCATTGCACAATGTTGCTGTTACTGTGTACATTATACCATCAGCTCATGTAAGTCTTTCCAGGTTTTTCTGAAATCTACCTGTTCATCATTTCTTATAACACAATAGTATTCCATTACATTCATATATCACAATTTGTTCAGCCATTCCCCAATTGATGGGCAACATAAAAATTTCCAATTCTTTTGTGCTAAGTGTCTTGCAAATCTTATTTGAGAGCTACTGTTTTGGCTAAAGCCTGGAGAAAAGGCAAAGTATTCTATCTTCCATTCCAAATGGTTAGAAGGTAACTGAATGTCAACTGTTAACTTAAAAATATTTCTTAAAATGGCTAAACAGAAAGGTTCCTAACAGTGTGGAGGATGGATTGGAGATGGGAAAGTAGAAGTAGGAAGATCAGTTAGGCTGCTGTCATAGACTAGATGGGAGGTAATGAGAGCTTGCCCTAGAATGATGGAAATGAGAATTTAGAATGAGGGAGACTGATACAAGAAATATGTAGAGGTAGAATCAATAGAATTTGGTAATTAATTAGCTATCAGAAGTAAAGAAGAGAGAAGAATAAAAGAAAATACAGAATTTCCAACATGGGAGAATGGGCAAAGGGTGATGTAACCACAGAAAGAAAATGGTCAGAAGGAAGAAAAAATTGGAGGGAAAAACTTAGCTTTTGATATCTTGAGTTTGAGGTACCAGGTGGGGATATCTGTAGGCAGATGAAAATGTGGGACTGAAGCCTGATTGGAGATAAATATTTGAAAGTTATCTCACACTTAGGAAAACCCAAGACTGTTTTGTGACAGTAGGTCCTCATTTAGCAAATTTCTGGGATGGGGAGAAGATGAAATTAATCTCTTTAGTTGAGTCTGTATTTGGCTAATGACTCACTTGTGGGTCCCCAGACACCTTTTAACTATGGCTCCAACTCAGTACCACTTTACCTACTTGCCCATTCCATTCCCCCAAATTTCCCTGCTCACACCCAGGGCTAAACCCAGCAATGGAAAATGAAAGGATTGTATGAGGAGCCAGAACCTGGCTGTTTTTTCCCTGCCTTAGCAATTCATCCAATAAGTAATGATGATGGTTGCACTGGGATGTTTAGCTCATTTCCAAGTAGCTTGGACAGATGCCAAACTTTTGACTCTAGTATCTAGTTCTCTCCACCACCCTTGGCTTTGGAAAAATCCAAGGCTTTATTTAGCACATTTCTACAGAGTTCTAAGCTCAGGATGGGAGCAAAGAATAGTGAATTAGAAAAGAAGTCTGTAAAACATGAGCCAGGCACATACACAGGCAGGAATCATCCAACAAGGAATGGTATTGAGAGACACCAACCTTCCCACAGCAACATGGTGACTACTGCTGCTGATGGCATTTGTATATTGTGGTATCCTTATCATTCAGATGCCTAGAACAAATTTTAAAAGCTTCCAAGTACTGCATTTTCTAGTTAGTCAGTCAACTGTGGTTTCTATATATCTTTGCAGAGAAATTTTATATTTTCAGTAAGTGAAGTCATTCTTACTATGTACACATTCATAGAGTCATAGATTTAAACTCAAAAGTATCCTTAGAAGTCAACTATTTCATTTTAAAGAAGAAACTTGGGCCTGAGGGGGGTAAATGACTTATCCAAGGTCACACAGTAGTAAGTAGCGGTGCCAGAACTTGAACTCAGGACCTCTCACTCATAGTCTGTTCATTGAGCCACTACACTACTTTCCTGCCAAGAGTGGACTGAATGCCTTGCTTTGGATGGGAATCAGTTTCTAGGAAAGATTTAACTGCAATTGTATCTTCCCATTGTCAGCACCCTTTCTCTGGAGATCTCCAATACCTGTTTGAATGAGAAGTCCTAATAATGGTTTCATATTGGACTGCATTTTGTCATTGTTGTAGGGTTATTTCAGTTGTATATGACTCTTCATGACCCCATTTGGGGTTTTCTTGGCAAAGGCACTGGAGTGGTTTACCATGTCCTTCTCCAGCCCATTTTACAGGCGAGGAACTGAGGCAAATAGGGTTGTGTGACTTACCCAGGGTCACACAGCTAGCAACTGTCTGAGGTCAGATTAGAACTCAGAAGGATGAGTCTTCCTCATTCCAAAGCCGGTGCTCTATCCACTGTACCACCTAACTGCCCACAGGGCTGCATATAAGTAGGCAATCGGGTTACCTACTAGCCTTTGAATAAACTAACCCAGAAAAGTACATGCATATGTTCTGAAAGGAAGTCTTGATGTTTCAGATCTGTACATAGCTGGAAATTTCTCAATAGTTCTGGGGTTCCATTTAATTTCTCTGAGCTGGATAGAAAGGCTCCCAGATTTGGTTTCTTATTTTTCAGATACATTCCCCTGCCAAACCCCAACTCTAACCCTAAAAACTTCAGGGCCCCCAAAAGCCCAGATGCCTTGGGCTCAGCTGGGGCTTTTGGCAGCATCATTAGTAATGTCTTCACTTCTTGGCAGGCTGGGTTTCCTCCCTGCTGTCAGTAAGTGATGAGCTTATCTGGACTGGAGATGGGTGGTATGGTATGGGATAATACAGGATGATCACTGTTTCTTACTGCACTTACTGAATAAAATCTGACCTTGAGCTCAGGAAAGTGACCTGGTATAGAACTCTTCAACTACAGTATTTTGCTGCATAATTGTCGCAGATTTTATGCCATTTTTTGGGGGCAAAAAAGTGGGGTGCGACCACTATGTGAAGGTTTTTTTTTAAATGTGCCAATATTATTTAAAAATAATTTATTGCTAAACTGTATGGCTGGCAGATGAACTGTACAGTTTAGCTGCTGCGGGAAGAGGCAAGTCTTACCATATCAAGTGGCTTTCTCACAGGCAGCTTTGCCTGCCTGCCTGCCTGCTCCCCTTGCTCCTATGCTTCTTCATTGGGTTGAGTGACAATACTGTTAGTACTGTGGTGCTCAAAACAAACCACTCGATTTGCTTTCGGAAAAATATACTGACAATGCACACGCGCTGAGAATTCTAGGCTCACGGCTTGCAATGCACAAGAGATAAATGCATATCCAAATGCCACTGGCAAATACATTGCTGCTCTGTTTACCTTTTAAGCGGCATGACGAACAGAATTATACCATGCAACGATTATGCAATGAAAGGTTATAAAGCAATTTTTGGATTGAAAAAACACAGGTTGCCACGATTACACAGTGGTGACAAGTATGTGGTGAAATACAATGTCTAGGGAAAGGGCCTCTATTCTCTTCTTGTCAAAAGGAGGAATATCCCTGTGTTCTATTTTCTGTTTCTACAAAAAGTCACAGGAGATGTTAGAGCTAGAACATCTTGCTCAAACCTCCCTGGACCTCTTCCACAGCTAAGAACTTTAATTTAAGACCCTTAAAGAATTCCTATGTTGATTTATATCCCCAAAGTAATGAGGTGGCTGTAAAGGCCTTGGCTATAGTAAAAACCCAAGAGAGTTCTTAATGGGGTTGTCTTGTTGAACTTTGCACACACAGAGGCGATGGAAGTGATAGTGGAGATTAACAGGGCCAAAGCATGGCTTTC